TAATATATATATCAAGCAAGGTAGTAATTACAATTTTGAAAAACTAATTTTGGTCTAGAAAACATCTTGAGCAATATGCTGCAAAATAAGCAAAATATAAAAATGTAGTAAGCTCGCCTAAAAGACACTGTAAAGCAGGCTAGCTCCCTCTTTCATGTTTAATGGTTTGATTTTCATATGTATTAATTTTTTTAAAACGTGTTGAACTTTTTGGAGCAGCAGCTCTTGGTAACTTTTCGGTGAGCTTACTACATTTATATATATATACTGAGATACAAAGTATTCGCAACACTCTTTTGTGATATGGGACCAATCTACTAACTGACATAGTTAGCCAGGAAATGTTTATATCAGGCATTCTCATTTTCAGAAGAAATAGTTATCACTGCAGTTAGAATGAAAACAAGTAATGCAACAGATTTCAGTTACTTTGAATAAGAATTATCAAGGTTGACAGACTTAGTTCCAAAATCTTTAGAATGGCTAATGTTCTAGGTTTTGTTTATGCAATGGTATCTCCAGTGTTTAGAAAGTGACAGTTGGTCAAAAAAAAATTCTCAGAATGAGAACACTTCTGGTTGGAAAATGCTTGTGAATGAGAACAAACAATGACAAGTGGCTGACAACTCATCTGTAGCAACAGGAAGGCAACAACATGACAAAGGGCAGCTTATCTGCAGGTTAACACAGGTACATCATAAAGCATGTCAAAACCATAACAGAACTGACCTTACAATGGGTTTTAACAACAGAAGACCATCAGGTTACCAACACTATAACTAAAAACATGAAATTGCAGTTCTTGTGGTCCCAGAAGTACCTAAATTGGACACTTGATGATTGGAGGAGAGACATCTTAGTATTATGAACATTTCCTGCTACACTGTGCAGAAAACAAAATAAGAACAAGGCTAGTTACCCTACCTATGGACTTCTCACTCCATTCTGAACAACAAAAGATGGATTTAAAGCACAATGACTAAGACGTTTCTTACTAGTATACATCCAAACATAAAACAGGCTTGCAAGAATCAGCACCCAATTCATTAATGGAAATATCAATATTTACTTATTTAGCTAAAGGGAAGATTATCCCAACTCTAGACTTTAATTATTAGAAAGAATATAAATTTGTTTGTATGTTAAAAACATAGATCTTGAAGAGGACAACAATATGATGTTTCGCTCAACATTTTAACTTATAAAAGTGGTCCCTACTTGAAAAAAGTTTGGAAAATGTTAGGTCTAAGCAAGATTTTTTTTCCCTGAAGTAAATGTCTAAGGAAGATTTCTTTTCCCTGAAGTAAAGGACTAAGGAAGATGTTTTCCCTTGAAGTAAAGGTCTAACGGAGATTTTTTTTTTCCCCAGACGTATATTTCCATTTGATATGTCCAGAAACAACATTCAACACAGATTACCTCCATATCACTGCTGATCATGTCAACTTGTTTTGGCTTCAATTTCCTGATGCATGTAATCACTTTCAATGGGGCAATGTATCTTGTCAGCATGCAAGACTGGTTTTTTAAATTGGTTTAAAGAGTATGATTCCTAATTCAAATTACATTCACAGGCAGCTCAGTCCTTTGACCTCAGACCCATTCAGCACTTGTGGGATGAAATAGAAATATCACTTCAATGCTTAGAGATACAACCACCCAATCTGAATGAACATATACTTGCAATTACATAAGAATGGGCTAATGGTCTCAGGAATTATATTAGGACATGCTGAGGCCATGCCCAGAATATCAGCTGTAATCAAAGCTAAAGGTGGACCAACCTGTTATTACAGGTGTCTCATATTTTGATTACTCAATGTATGTTTGAATATGGAGGTGGTGGTTTTAAATTTATTAAATATTTCACACATTGAAATATAATAGTTGTGCTGTTAAATATATATGGCCTATGATAACAATACTTCCTTAATTTTTTTTAATCTTTATATTACTTTTTATTTCAATATAACCAGTGAATAAATCTTAACACCACTTGGCAAAAAAGATATAAAACCAACAGTTATCGGATAAATCATTTGGCAGAACAATCTAGCTTTTGCACTTTTTGCAACTACAGTCAAAAGTCTTTAATCCGAACTCATAGGGACTTCGGCGATTCCGGATTATAGATCATCAGTTTAAATCTGGTAAGATGGCACGCAGAAATTATAAAATTAAAAATATGAAACCGTAATTTATGAAATAAAGAGAAATTATGATCTAAAGGGTATCAAATTTATAAAAAAAAGCTTAATGTTTATTTGTTTACTTTATTAAACATTTCTTTCAACGCACGCATGCGTAAAGCATGCATTACGCATAGTCGAAATTAGAAAATTGCAACCAGACAACTATTTGATGTGTATTCGTGATATTTATGGTGACGAGGAATTTGATTTAAATCATATCAAAGACGGAGTACATTGAGATGAAATACTACATTTAGTAAGGAATTATAAGCCCAATAAAATAAAAACATCTGCACTGAAGATAAGGATAGTGCTAACAGATCAACTCCCAGTTCATTGCGCACAGCTATGTTTCCCCCCTCCCCGCCCGCAGAGCAGCATGAAATTGATAAACAGATTTCGGAATGGTTAGAGAAACAAAGGATATGCCTTTATCCATTTTTTGCAGCATTTACGTATTCCACTTTTTGTTTGATGGACATCCAAACATGCTTTCGCTTTGTAGATAGATCCTTTGGCAGCTCCAGAATCGGAAATTCTATTTGACATAATCGAAAGTTCAAGCTTACTTTTATAAAATTGCTCTAACACTCTGCAAAAAATAATAAGCCGGATCCAATTCAAAGACTAAGGAACAACATTATCTGCAACATTAACTGAAATAGATAATTAGATAATTTTAGCTTAGCTTATACCATCTGTTATACATTAAACGCGCATACATAAACATATTATGCGCATGCGTAAAGGTTTATTACTCGCATGCGTGAACGCATTATGCTTTGACACATGCGCAGAAAGTTTGTAGCTTTGAGGTCCGGATTATAGATCATTCCGGATAACGACTTTTGACTGTACTACAAATCATATGAAGTTTAAAAGAATGTTCAAATTACCCCTAGTTTAGCACAATGAAACCTCCCCTAAAAATGATTCTGCAAAGAAGCTCTGCTGTCTGTAGATAGCCTATAGTTTACATTTGTCCCGTCTTATGATAAATAAAAGTATGCATCTATGGCAAATTATGATTAAATTACCCCTTGCAAATTTTCATTCTTTAGGGGGAAGTCAAAAGCAGGCTATAATGACCTAAGAGGACAGGCTGTCTCAGCTATTTATATGATAAGTTCACTCTGGTGTTTGGGTCACGAACTAATAAATTAATAAGGCATCACGTGTTCACAAATGTTGCTTTGTTTACAGCAAAAATGGCAAATGCCAGACCATTTGAAAGTATTATGACTTAAAGATTTCATTAAAAATCATAATCAGGGAGAACTTAAGATTGCAAAACCATCTATCCAGGAAATACATTTTGCTGAAATCTTATGACATAATTTGGGCTCATTGCTGTTGGAAAGAAGAGGAAGAATGCAACAAGAGTTATATATACATAAAATAAAATGAACACTATGAAATCCAGGTACTGAGCAACAGTTAAAAAGGTAACATTGCTTAATACTTCTTCCCCCCCCCCCACAGGAAAAAAGGTTACAAATGTGAAAATGCAGGGTAAGAGAATGTAGAGAATATAAACATTACAAAATCCTATTCTGATAATAAAGAAAAGGCAATAATACTATGGCTACATGTTTCACAAAAGCATCCAAAAGAAACTTGCAAAGCATTTCAAACTAATGTAAAAAGAGATATGCATCTAATTTGTAATTCTAGATATATAAAAATAATTAAAATGGAGAATGCAAAACCTAGAGTCCAAAACACCTAAAAGGCTTTTGTTTAAGAATTTCTGAGAGAAAAAATTCAGTTCCTTTTCCCAAGAAGTAAACTGCTGAAATATTAACAAAAGCTTTCTTAAACAAAGTGGTTATTTCTTCCTTGGAACAGCTGTAATGAACTAATATTGTTCAATGTGTTTCTATCAGCAGAAATACATTGCAGATGTCCATAGATGCACAACCACATGAAAGAAGTACAGTACAACCAAAAACATAAACAATTCGTACATAAAAATGGTGCACTAAAAGTACTTTGGTAAATAAAAATGTGGAAAAGAATGTTCAAATAAGAGAGATAATTCAATAATTACAAAAGGTTGATAGACAACTTAATTAGAAGTCCTAGAAAACCAACGAGTTATGCAATAACATGTTCGAGGAAAGACACCCAGCTAATGCTGTAATGAATAGGTGGCTTCCACTGTAAAAGACTTAAAATATCAAACAACTGTCTTTGTCTTTCAATGCAAATGATGACATAGTAAGCTAAAATACTACTCTCACTAAAAAGTTCTTTAATGTAATTCTTAGAAATTATTCTTATAAGTTCTTATAAGAAGTTTTGTAATAAATTATGTTACAATTTCCAACATTTTTTTCACTCCCTTTGCAATTTAGCTTTTAGGTTTACTACAAAGTTTGCCTAACCAAAAAAATTTTAAGCGCATTTCCTATAAACATTCATTTCATCTAAGTATTCACTATAAATTTATTATACCCAAAACTGAACACATAAAAGATGATGATATAACATATTATATATCATTTTAAAAAGTAGTGAATGCATCTAAACATCTCAAACAATATAGTTTTATGGTAAACCCCACAGTAAAAGTGTCTATAACATGCAAGGTAATAGCAACTACACCTTGTATAAAATATAATATAACCCAGTAATAGTCCAGTTGGCATAAAACTAACTATTAAAAGAATACACCTATTTAGTTAAGTAAAATATCCAAATATTTATTCAGTACGAAACACACTTTAAATCTGGTTTCAGTGTTATAGCATTAGAGTACAGCATTACAGTACACTCAATTTAGTAAATAAAAAAAATGAAACGTACCTTTTAATCATACAATGTGGAAGTTGGCCAATTTCCCATTTAAAAGTATTACCATAAAGATTACTTGCAAATATAATCTCTGCAAGGTAACAACACTTAATTAATATCTAGTGAAAACTTTATAGACCGGTGGGATACCGGGAACACAATAAGAGAATTCTAACAATTATAATTTCAACGCAAATCTTTTTTTCAGTTACAAGAAAAAGCAGAAGTAGATTTACTATAGTAAAATTTTAAAATAGGATGTCACCAAAGATTATTTTTGAGACAATTTTCAAAAACCAAATATTAATTCAGGAATTTCACATGTTAGTCCCCACAAAACAAAATTACATAAATAGAATAAATTTTTAACTATGAATTTTCTTCTGGAACAAAAATTTACACCAGGTGACAGCTAAGAAATTTACTTCCAACATCTTGATTTTTTCCCATCAATACAAATGGCTGAAGCAGCATCCAACCTTACCACTTTCTTCATGACCTCCATGAGTGCCTAATACTAAATCTATAAAAACAAAGTAAAAAATAAGGAAATTTAAGTACAACTTTTTCTTCTTTTGGTGAATCTTTGGACAGCATTAGTAGCTCTCTCCTTTCTCACAACAGCCACTTTCATCTTATTTTTCAGCCTTCCTTACAGGGTATAAGACAGCACCTTCTCTTTTCCAAGCTACGCTTCAAAAGTTCCCACCGATGCTCCTGTTCTTCTTTTACCGATAATTTTCTTTCTTGGCGAGGAAACTTTTCCCCATTCTCATCTAGCAACCCCAAGAGGGTCAGCAACACCAACAGCATTAGTGGTGCTTCTTAGGAAAGTGTTGACAGAATAGTCTACCAGAACTTGGCAAAAATCACTCCTTCCTCATGGGCACTCCAAGGACTCCAGACAAGGTCAACATCCTGACCAACCCCTTGTGCCCACTGGCCTTCATCTTTCAACACTTTTTTAAAACAATGCATTACTATCATTAGCCTCGTCAGCAGTCAGTATTTGCTAGATGCGACTTTTGAAGAATCACAACTCACTTGGTAATCCACCAAACATATTTTTATTACTTTATCATCTGATTACTCTATTCAGGCACATCTTACAGCATGGCACATCCCAAGAGGAGCAATCTGCACTTCACAATTTTAATTATGAGGCATTACATTTTTAATAATAAATAGAAGCAGCCAACCTAGAGGCATCCTTTAACTAGCAAGAGTAGGCAACAAAAAGAGAATGTAACAGTTGCAGTAGTTTTTATAATCTCAGAGCACTTACGTGCGTGTGGATAAAAAAATATGTAAATCAAAACTCAGATTTACAATAAACCCTTAATTTTTTTTATTTTCATTTCGATATTTCTCCTCTTTATCCTCTTCATAATAACAATGATGTAGCTGATTCAGAACTTAGAGCCAAAATATGCAAACCAAAACCTTTCTCTCTCCTTTTGAATTAAGCCCCACCTTGAATTACGCCATACTTACTTTCTGCTTCTTTGCCTATCTAGACTGCTGCACTGCTGTTCTCTCTTATGAAAACAGTACCAAATGTAAATGTTCCAGAACAGGCATGATTAGTGCAACAAGTTATTTGTGGCTGCTAACTTAAAATAAAAGGAATATAATTTAAATCAGCTACAACTTCTTATTAAATTTATCTTGGCTGCTAAATTTGTTTTCAATTATGAATCAACATCAATGCAATCTACTTTTCAATTTCACTACATATACCAAATTTTCTCGAATATTTTTCCCTGTAGCTTTTTAGAACTTAGCTCCGAAAATCTAAAAAATATATACATAATTCCTCCCTTCTTCTACTGTACGTAGTTTATCCCTCTGAGGCTAGTTAAATAGTAAAGTGATTAAGACACAATAACACGCCGAATAAATACTAATTCAGAAATCAAACAACAAAAATCAGCGTTATATTTACAAAGTTTTCACAGGACTAGTTTCGATGGTTTTACCGAACCACCATCTTCAGCTGCAAAACCACAAATGATTTGCAAAACCGCAATCATTTGCGGTTTTGCAGCTGAAGATGGTGGTTCGGTAAAACCATCGAAACTAGTCCTGTGAAAACTTTGTAAATATAACGCTGATTTTTGTTGTTTGATTTCTGAATTAGTAAAGTGATTATTTTTATTTTTATTCAGTGTATTCAATCTGTATCTACATTTCAACCATTTTATTTCCTCTTGCATTTATTATTCATAATATATTTTGAACAGAATCTTCATTAAATTTGTCAAACATAGGCCATGTTCTCATACTTAAACTTCCTAAATGTGATTTCACCATAATTCTATAATTTACATTCCAGCTTGTTGTAGCCTATCTGCTGCTAATATGTTCGATCTTTCAAAACCCAGGTCTTCTGTTCGCCCTTCTCCTTCCTTCTTCTAACATCCCTCTTGGGAACTACAGTTAAGACTCATTTATATCAGGTACCACTGGTACAAGGTAACTGAACAGGACACATCATGCTCTGTGCGAGATTCGTGGCTTTAACATAATATTCGGTTGAATACTTTATCTAGAAAAATGTTTCTTTTCATGTATGTGTACTACAGACATAATGCACCATGAATCTTCAGAACCATGGGGAAAGAAAATAATCACAGCCACATAGCAAAATTTAAAGTTTTAAAATTTTGTTGAAGTTAATGTGTAGTACACAACTTGGTGTTCAACCTAGCTTGAGTTGATACTGAAGAAAACAAATAGATGCACCAAGGAAGTCAAATTCAAAGCGGAGTCCATTTCGAGGACCGAAAAAATTTTCCCTTAGTGGGTTTAGGGTTGCAGAAAGTGGCAAGGAATCACCCATTCACTGACAAAAATTGGCGATATGCCATAGTCAGAGCGAAAATATTCTAGAACAAATTCTTAGCGGGTTTCCCGAGAATACTCCCGAAGGCAAGTCAATATATACCAGAGATGGCCAAACTTGAAGACCATGGGAACCAACTGCATGATAGATTTTATGAACATTCAAGAGCCACAAGTACAAATTTATATTGTTTCAAAAAAAAAAACCAGACAGGTTTTGAATATAAAGAAACTTTCGAAGTAAATTAATGAATATGTGATTAACATGATTACATATAAATATGAATAACTACATCTTAGATCTACTGTTTTGTGTTCAGAAAAGTCCCAAGAAAATAAAAATTTGTAACTCTTGTACTAAGCAACTGAGCATTTTTTCTTCAGGTAGAGAAACTCAAATATTTTTTTCTGCTTTCCTTCATACCTTTTCATTTATAATTATTGTTATTTTATTTTAGTAGAAGTAAAATGAATTGGAAGCATATTCATTGGTTTACAATTACATAAAAAATGTTATTTGAGTAAATTAAAAATCATTATTGAAAAGAAAAATGAGTTTTTGTTGGGGGACATGAGCAGTCTTTTAGAAAGGATAAATTAAATAATACACATCAATGCACAGTGCAGAGAAACTGTTATTCGAGAAAGAATATTTATTTAAAAAATAAGCTATTAAATTGTTCAGGCTTTTTCTTTAAAATAATTTTGTTTCTCCACACAATTAACATAATGGCCAACATACTGAAATCATTCTAATATTTGGATCCCGACCTAAGAAATCAAACATTTTTTCCCAAAACTGTTCTTAACAACTATTTTTACCAATGCCCAGTATAGAATTCACCAAAAAAAAAAAAAAAAAGAATGATTGCAATTTCACTGGTATCTGAATAATCAGTATATCTCATGACGGCCCTAAACTGATACAGAATTTCAGAATGTATGGTCCCTAAACTGATACAGAATTTCAGAGTGGCATCTAACAGAATCTGCCAGAATGCTTTAGTAATCAGTATACTGCGCATCATTGAAAAATCTCGAAACTATCTCTTGAATAACCCCAATAATTTTGGACGCAGATAAAGTTCAGGCCTATCATTGAAAATTCTCAAAACTATATCTTGAATCATCCCGATAACTTTGGACGTATACAGGGTGTATCAGTACAGCATTGACTAACGTTCAGGAGAGAAAGAGTACACCTAGATGATGGAAAATTACATAGGAATGTATGGTCGGAACCGCTTTCCTGACTCGGTAGTGACGACACGAAAGTCAAGAAAGAAAGGACATGAATGGAGTAAGAAAACATGTTTATTATTCGAAGTACAACAAAAACACAGAAAAATCAACATAAAGAGACAACAATTCTCATCAAAGAACATGTTCAAAATTAAGGAACCGCACATCCTGCATCTTCCATTTGTGATACAGATCTTCCATGCGAAGATGAGAGGCCTGCCATCACGATCTGGGGGCATAATTTCAAACACCTTCTTTAATGACGATTGTTGTTTTTGTTCTTATTTGTAGGTTTCTGCTGTATTAAATATAATAAAACAAGTTTTGTCTCACTGTTTGTATCCTTCCTTTTTTTCCTTTTTTTGTGTTGTCACTATTGTGACAGGAAAACATTTCCGACCATGCATTCCTATGTGATTTGCCATCATCTAGGTGTACTCTATCTCTCCTGAAAGTTTGTCAATGCTGTACTGATACACCCTGTATAACGAAGTTCATGTGAATCATTGAAAACTCTTGAAAGTATCTCTCGAATTGTCCTGATAATTCTGGACATAGATAATTAAGTTCATAATGCATCATTGAACAAACCATCTTTCAAACTGTCTTGATTATTTTGGTCAAAGATAACGAAGTTCATGCACATCATTGAAAATTCTCGAAACCACCTCTTAAATCATTACCATAATTCTGGGCATACATAACCTATTGCTAATAAATCTAGTAGTTTAAGCCGGGCCATATAAATGCTTCGTTGAACACATATTCCATCAGGCTTCAACCAGGCTGTTTTTCAAATGCATGGCAAATCGAAACTAATGTTACAGAAAGAAACCTGCCACTACTATAATGAATTTATTTTGCAAATGCAAATATAACATGAATGTGTAACTCTTCAGATTTCCATGGACATGTACAGATGTTCGATGTGGACCCTTTTTGTAACACGACAGATGTCTGCACAATAGTTTAGTTCTTAAGCTCCTGCCAAACAGATGAATGAAT